AAAGTAAAGGAAATCTACTGAGACTAGCATCACTCGTTTATAACAAAGTTTTGCCATTTGAGTGCTTCATTAGATTTCAGCAGTTTTGGACCCTTCACAGAGCTGGAGGAGATTGTAAATTTAGATACTAGGAAAGGTTAAAATATAAAGCAGGCACCTAAAGGATATAGCAGCATACTTGATGTCTGACAGCATTTAAAAATCTCTACAAATTTTCAGAATATGATAAAAATAACTATTTTGGCACAACTTAGATAAGTTGAAAATTTGAAACTTTCTCATTTCATTTCTCTTACTAATTTTGAAAGTTCAATTATTTGCTTATCTGTATTTGATCCTTTCAGATTTGACAAACATCGAGGCCTTTGCCTTATTTATATAAGTACTTTCGTGTCACATTGTCCCTATATGTCTTTGAGTATATAACAGAAGAATCTCAATTTCCTGCTTAACCCACTAAATTACAAGAAGACTTTTCCAGTACTCTGACTTGTCAATGTTGGTGGCAATTTACAGAGTTACAAAGCATTTTTCACAGCCTATTTTTCTGCTACATTGTATTTTGGATAAATTGTATTGTAAGAAAAAATTGTTTGGTGAGATTTTTAGTAGCTTAGCATTTGCTCAGTTTACCTGAATTGACAGCTTTCCTCCTTGGGTTGGAAGAATCTGTTTAGGTTGGCTTTAATAGCAAAATTTGTAATCACTTTGTGGGAGCTTAAACTGAAATCTCTACTTTATTTTCAGTTTGAAGTACAGCAGGCTTGTTTGACAAGAACTTGAGAAACACTAACCTCAGAGTAGAACTGTTTTTAGTAGAAGTTGTCCATTAATTTTAAATCCTAATACTTCAAATCATGGACAGCAAATTTTTAATTTGAGTGCCATTGAATGTTAAATCTATTTTTTTTATTATTCTTGAGTACTTGAGAATTAATAGATTATTTGTAGGACACTGAACTTGCAAATCAGTATGCCTTTAAGCAAAATCAGAGAGTATCAGTTGAAGTTTACAATTACATCTGGTTTTGCTGCATTATCTAAGGCAAGAAAATGAATATACTTCTCAAAACATTAGTACAAGTAGCTTTGTTAAGATTAGACAAACTGCACTAGGTTTATTTCCAATGAGTTTATTGATATTGGTGTCTGGGAAGACGTGGCTTCCAGCCTGGGTCTTTCTTGCACTTACGGAACTCACATCATTATTCCCCTTCAGAGCTAAGGAGTGTGAACTTGTAGAGCTGTGTTAACCTCAGGTGGGAGACTCTGGAAAATGGTTTCCTGAAGCTTTCAGGAACTTCATTACTTCTGAGACCCCTACCTCTTTATTAGGTTTGATTAAAATCAGTAAAAGGTGCCAAAATTTTCAGAGGACGCATACAAATGTCTACAAAGAATAATCTCAAAAGCTTTACAAACTGTTCCTGCACCAACTGGCTGTTTTTCACTGACGCTTTTAACGTCCTTCATCAACTGCTTATGTTTCATAAGGCATGGGATAACCAGGCAGGTTTACTGCTGCCATGCAGAATATATAATGCTTGAGTTCTACCTGCCTTTCCTGCAATGTGTCCCATCTGCCCTGCCTCCAATTTTCCTGAAATTTGTAGCAACTTAATCAGTGAGCCCTCTACCTCTGTGTCAAATTTACCTAATCCTAGTTAAGGTTTGGAGGCTTCTGGGCAAGCAGTCAAGATTTACAGGTAGAACCAAGGTTTCTGTAATCTCACTGTCTTTCTATAGGAATCTCACTAAGTCGTCTATTCTAACAGACTCTTCTGTTGTAGTTAAATACAAGGATGTTCTTCATAGTACGATTGGTTGTAAGACAGGAATTCTTTAATGTATGGCAATATTTTTTCTGTAACATTTGAATGCCAAATTGAGCTTAATATTTTCTGTGTTAATCAGCATTTGAAACTATCTCCATCTTGTGATTTAGTAAGCATGCCAAAAAGCTTCCATTAATCCTGTTTCCCAAGGACCTCAGATACAACTTCGTAAGTCAGAAATAACACAGTGAATCTGAGCTCTTCTAGGATTGAATTAATGGTATCTCATATAAAGCAATCTGCAAAGGGAAGATATGGACAGTCTTAAGATGCAATAATCCTATATACTTCACGCTCATCTAAAAGTACATGGGATACATTGTGAGCCAGAATATTCTGAGATATTCGGAACACTTTCTTTTGAGGACTTCTAACACTTTAAAGCAAGGAGCTAAAGCAAAGTAAAATTAAATGGGAAGTTTGTTTTCTGCCTACCTTGTCCAAAAGTCAAATCATTTGTGTTCTATTTCATTTTGTGCTAACAAGTGACTCCTTCACAATGTACAATTCTTTGGAATAATCTGAAGTTGACATCACAAGATTTTTCATATTGAGAAGAAACTGGAATTCATGGTACTGGAGAGAAAGATGTAATTAAACCATCTAGTTAGGAGTGGGGAAGTTCTGGGTTCAAATCATTTCTCCTGTGGAGATTTATTCATTTTATCACCTTATTTATACAATATAAAGCCTCTCATGGGAACAGGACTTACCTGCTCCTTGACTGGGCATCCTAACCATTGAACTAAAGCTGCTTTCTATTGACCAGTGGCAAAACAGCATGGCTGGAGGGAGTAGCTTTTCTTCCACTGTTTCATGCCTTTAAAAGGCAACAGCCTGGCTGACAAACCATTGTGCTATGAGCCGTGACTTTAAATAGCTTTAGACTGAGAAGGCAAGGCCAGTTTTCTGTAGTCCAATGCAAATGTTGTAATCATTAGGACATTCTGTAGAACAGCCTCGGATGTTTAGTGTTTGAAATCTGTAGTTTGATGTCTAGTACACTTCTATTTTTTGACACAACCCCGTATCAATACAAATCACTGATGGATTTCAGTATTAGTTGCATCAGACCTTTATTACTTGACATGCTTAGTTCATTTGCTTAAATCAGTCATCAAGCACAAAAAAGAGGGCTGAAAAGGAACTGGAGGTATCTTCTAGTTAATTTATCTGTTTCTTTCATCATAATGAAATCAATGAAAGTGACATATCACCAAATACCATGGTACTATCAAACCTTGAGAAGGGTTTCATGTGGTTTTGTAGCACTGTAGGTTAAGGTCTGAAGTATATGCATGGGTATCTCCCTCTATTCCTATCAACCCCGTGTTCTGCCTTTCATGGGTTCTTGCTTGAGGGTCGAGACCTGTCCTTGTAGAACTTAACTGCACAATGGAGCTTTTAACCCAAAGAGGGTGGTAAGACTTTCTTTTTTGCCCTCCTCTTCCTAAGATATGAAAACCTCTTACCCCACCACTATCTCTGCTTTCAGCCATTTCCCTCCCTAGACCCACAGTCTTCTACTGACTCTACGTGTGTGGCATTTTTGGTTTGCTCTTGTGCTTTGCTAGTAAAAAGAAAAGCCCTGGTGGATGGTGGACACAACTCATCTCTTGCTTAGTTCTGTCTCATTGATGTAGATAGCACGACCCCAGCACTTAGGGAAGAAAAGATTTTGGAGAATCAGCAACAGTGAGTCCAGAGAACAGAGCATGTTAGTTGGTCAGGACTGTGCAGGATGGCACTGAAGACACAGGAATAGTGTTGTGGAGAATACAGCAGTATAAGGATCCATATTGATATGATTTAGTATTACTTACATTTAAAATCATGACATTATCATAGTAGTAGTATTTCATCCATCGCTCTCCGATCCTACCTGATTCAAAGGCAGGGTCAACTACCTATAAATCATTCTTGGCAGAAGCTCATCAGCATGCCCAGGTAATCTTGTAAAGGTTTGCCACTAATTCTGCCTAGCAATTTACATTCTGCAAGATTATTTCATAGACTTAGGAGATTTTTTTTTTAATGGCTGACAATGATTTTAAGACTCTTTCTTTTGAAAAACTGTTTAGCTTTACAACATAAATATATTTGGGGTACATTGTAAATATTGCATATTTTAAATACATCAAGTAAGACTAAAATTTCCCCTTTGCATAGCTAACGGATATTTTCATCAGCTGTCAATAAATTTCAGAGAAACAGTTAAATTGTAAACATTTAAAAGTTTTATTTTGTAAATGTTGTGGATATTGGAAATGTAATTAGAGATAATAAAACTTGACTACCTCAGTTTATTTTAGTGTAAAAATAAACTAAAATTATCTGAAGGTATAAAGTTTTCAAAGAAATCTCAAACAGTCATTAATAAATAAGGTAAAGTTGTTATCAAGGACTTTCTAATGAATTAGTGATGATTTAAACTTTCATGACTCAAAAGCGCCATTAAGAACTTCAAGGCACAAACAAAACCAGAAGTGACTGGAAAGATCATGCTCTCTCACTTACCCTGGAGCAATGTTTATACATCAAAGTTATTTCTCTCTTAACTTTGCATTGTGTGTTTCCTCCTCCCATTTTCTGAAAGAATCAGTTTCTCAAAAAGTGATGCCACTGAATAAACAACTAAAAACTACTTAATTTCTTTTTGTTCTGAAAGAAGAGGTTAATTCATACGAAACAAAGGTTTCATGCTATGAAGTTGGAAGGAACTTGTGATCATCTAGTCACATATGAATTTTTCATCCATATGACTACTGTGAATGAATTCCTTTGTGAACTAGAGCTATCTTTTTGAAGAAAACTCCAGTCAGCAATAGTATTTATTCGAGCTTTAATTCAAGCTCTAGTAGTACAGCATGTAGTTCCTCAATCATATGTACCTGAAACACGTACCTAAAGACTGTTGAGATTTCTCTTATTGCCTCATCTATCACAGCTGAAATTCTCTCTTAGGTCAGAATGAATTGAAGTGTTATGAATTGGACCTAGTACAAGAAGCAAATCTGAACGCCCTTGTGTGTGTGCATATATGCGTAAATAGATTTTTTTGTTTGTTTTTAATTAAAAGCCAGACTTTTCTGCCTATCTTTGTATGTTTCCAATTAAATGAAGACAAAGGCAACTGAATCTTCAAATGGTGTTTCTGTATTCAAGGATGATGTCAGCAGTGAAGATCTGCAGTATCCCCCTGCTTCAGTCTTGGCAACAAGTTCAAAAAGGAAGTCAGAGAATGAGAGCGAATCAGCTGTGCATAATGTGGATAAGCAAACAGGCATCTCCCCCTCCCTGGGTAACGCTTTGGAGCACATTGTGGACCAGCTGGATGTTTTAACACTAGTAAGTATGCAATAACAGATAACACTTGCAGTGGAAAATGACAATGCTGTCAATGGGCAAAAAAACCCCAGGAACCATGTTCATAAATCAGAATGTTAAAGTCTATGGGGTTATTTATTTTGAATAGTTGTATAGTCAAGTGACTGTTTTGTCTTTTTTTTCCTTTCAGCAAATATTGATCATATGTATTGTGTTTGCTAAAGTTAAAGCTTCCTGCTACATAATCATAAAGATTATTGTTGTATTTTTAACTCTGGAGGAAAAGAGTCACTATTTTTCAGTAGTGAGATCTAGCGTAGATTTGCCAGAAGCCAGTTGTTTAGCAGACATTCCAGCTTGAACAGTCATGCATTACCAGGGGATGAACAAAGTAAATTGGCAATGTACTATTAAATCCCTTCTCAAACTTAGTGTTCAAGGTGTTGGCTTAGGTAGGAATCTAAGCAGTGGAATAATTCCTAGTGTCAGTGAAACTGCACAAATACTAGTTGCGGTCAGTGACTCTGAGTCACTGGTTTGCCAATGCTCAATACTTCTTTTTAGTAATCCAGATTTAGCCAATCTATGTTTTAATATACCACTCTGTAGTCTGTAATACATTAACATTAAACCAAATCAAAAGGGAGTAGCTAAGGCTTTTTTTTTTTTTCTGCGTTCTTTTGCAATATATATGTTAACTCAAGAAATAGGTTTTGGGAAGTATGGAGTCAAGTCATCAGTTCAAAATAATTTGTGTAGTAAGCTGGATTAAAAAGAAACTGCCAGCCTGTGTCCAGAAACCTACCTTTTCTGAAGAAGGTAACCTCTTGGAGAATGACTTTTAATAGTATATTTTTTCTCACTTCCTTTCTTGGAAGATGCCTTAGAAGTTTCTTCTAGGTTTTTGGAGGACATCATTTGGGGTCACCAGTGATGGCTGTTTTTCTGTTGAAATATCGATCCAACTTTCACATAGTATTTCAGAGTAATTTGTATATGCATGTATATATTTCTCTTTCTCTCTCAGAGAAAATATTTTGTGAAAACAATTTTAAACCTTTAGACAATCTCCATAGATACAAAACCATTATTTGTAAATATAGTTGTAAATAGTGGAATAGCTAAGGAAAAGCCATCTTAGGATATTTTTTCCTGTTGAGTTACAATTATTTTTCTTATGTTAATATGTTGCACACTATAATACTGTGTGAGTAATATAAAAACAAATTGAAATTACTGTCCTCTTCATGCAGACTATTTCAATCCTGGAACAACGTCTGACTTTGACTGAAGATAAATTGAAAGAATGCTTAGAAAATCAGCAAAAAATGTTACTTCAGGGAAGACAGGAAGAATAAAAGATGAAAACAAACTGCATTGATGAATGTTTCATATATTCACAAGGAAATTATAAATGTTACTTCATTGGATTTTGTGATAAGCAAAAAAAAAATCCTCCTTTTCTAACATGTCAATGTAATAAAAACTGAAGAAAAAAAACCCCACATTTTAAACATTGGTAGCAAGCAGATATTCTGGTTATATATTTAGTAAAGTGTAGCCCAGCTAAAACTAATATTTTCTAAAATCACTCCCATTGAACATTACAGGACTCTTATTTCAACCTAATATCTTGAATATGACTAAGCAACAAACTACGTATTTTTAGATGAATAGCAATTATTATGGAAGTGCACTATGCAGGTTTTTTAACTCAGGTAAGGATTGTGAAAATAATGCTCTTTGTGCTAAGGCAGCATTACTCAAGCAGCTAAATTAAATAAGACCTAATTAGCCCTAACTCCAAAAATGCCAGAGGTTTTCTTTTAAAAAAAACCACAACACCTTTTAGTTACAAATATGAAAATGATATCACTTAAACTTTGAAACTATAATTGCATGTGTATGAATTCAGCTACAAGACTGATGCAGTTGAGCACTTCTGCTTATCTCATCCCCATCAAATTCATTTTTCATATTTAGAAAAATAAAAATCAGCTTCATATTTCTGGAGAATATATTTGAACCAAACACAAAATGATGCAAAATCTGTATCATAAATACAAAAGTTTCTCATCCTCCAAGGACTTCCACAGGTCCTCAAGCTTTGCATGCTATGAATATCCCTCATCAGTTAATGCGTTATGAATGAAGCCATAAATGTATGATGATTTTGGTTTTATTTTTAATAAAAATGCAATTTTTAGAAAGACGATTGTAGGTCTTGTTTTTTAACAGAAAACATCTCTGCTTCTTTATGTCTAACTATTATTTTTTTAAATGGCAATTGCAGAACACCTGTTTTAAATCCACAATCAAAACTAAGTAGTCATCCATTTCTGCAACTTCCCATTTTCTATGTTGAAAAATAGGACACTTGAAATGGGGGGAGCATTTTAATCCAATTCTGCAACTGACTGTATATAGACAAAGCCCATTTCCCAGGCTGAACTTCATTAACATCAATAGAGTTCAGCTTAAGTGCAGAAGCTCGCTGTGTAAATACTATTGCGGTTTGAGCCAAAGCAATGAGCAATCAATTTTTGTTTTATAATTTTTCATTTTCTCTCATAGTAATCACCTTCAGATAGCCAGACATCACCTCACTTGCTTGGTAAACTCTGAATTTTGCCAACAAGTACTACGTATTTTCAGCTCCACCTTAAGTATTACTGTTTATTGTGAAGAAGCAATCTCTTCTTATAAAAAAATTAGATGCAAATATTTCTGTGCAACATCCTAGCCACAGATTTTTTGGAAAGGATGGTCTTACATGTTTCAATGTAAACAGCCAGACCTTTGATTATGCAATTGTTTATAATGCTATATAAGGCATACTTATGTAAATACTGTCTTTTGGGTCAGATGTACTTTGCTTTATGCATTTGCAAATACTCTTGTGGTCTTTGCCTTTTCTTGGCTCCTTTAGAAGACACAAAACCATGTAGCTATTAAAATCCTTTGCTTGTTTGTTGTTTTCTCTGAATGGACTATATATGAATGTTTTAAATCTGTAGATTTTTATTTTGTTAAGCTTTTCAGGGTTATTTATCAACAAGATTTGGAAATTTCTTTTACTTCTGTATTTTTAATAAAATCTCTGCTGAAATTTTCCTTTCTGTCTTAGCTCCTATCACTAATCCTTCCTTTTCAGTACCTACTATCTATCTGAAGCATTTACTACTTAATCCAGTTTATTCCTCTGCTGTTTGTGAATCTGGTGAACTAACATAACATTTCCAAATTAAGATGTGTTCTTGTCATTCTATCAGGTCATGTGTTGATTGTGAAACTCAACATGCATGACACTTGCGATGTCTGTGTAACTAGAGATGGTTGGTTGAGAATAGGATGGAGGTATTTTCCTCAAACTGTGATGGCTCTCCTAAAACACAACCACAACTAGCTAAAGTGATGTTTCTTTTAAAGGAACATTGATGTGGGCTAGTTATCTCATTGTCTTGATCCATACAATTTCAAATAAAGCTATAGAATAGAAAAACTTCCTTTAAAAGCATCTGAAGAGGCTGGTTAAACTCTCAGAAGCATTTACTCTAGGGTTTGTGCTTTGGCAAATAACTGGTGACTTGACTAATTTGAATTATCTTATAGAGCTAGAGGAAAATGACTGCTGTTTAGCCTTAGTTGTGCTTCTGCACCATGTGAAAAAATAATTGCACACCTCTTTAAATGATTATGAAAAGTATATCTGTATTGCAGACTGCAGCAAAGTACTGAAAATCCATACTTGTTCTAAACCAGCTGAACCACGTACCTGATGCAGTCCAGCTTTCCTCAAGCTAAGTTATCACTCTGATAGTAAATGTAACTAGGCCACCCTGTTGGAGGAAGACTGCTTGCAGCATCCAGGCCAGGTACTGCAAAAATGGCTCAATTACTTATTAAAAAAAAATAACACCAATGTCTGAATGACATGCAGTAGATTCCCAAGGTTTGTGGGGGAAAGAGAGAAGGTGGCAGCATGAACGACCTCTCCTGCTGGCATCACTGGGAGACTGTCTCTGGAGGAACCCAACTTCAAATTCCTGAAGCGTCAAAGCGTTATGCAGTAGCTCAGCAACTCATCGTACATGCTTCTGCAGACATTTCAAAACAAAAACACTCTTCCAAATTGAAAGAAATGCTGTCAGTTACTACTGTGTCTTAAATTTTATTTGTAATTCCCATCAAAGTTTAATGGAATTTTAACGGTATTTTTATCTTGGGTATTACATAAAGCACAATGTTGAGGCAATGAAGGTGTTTTTCTCAGTCTTTCATTTTGGATGGCAATATGCACTTCGTTTGGGAGCACACTTAGAGGTTCCTAATTATCACCAAGGGGGCGGACAGCGAATGGCTAAATGTTGCAACGTTGGACCTTAAGGCACTTCACTTTTTCTTTTGATCTGAACATACAGGTTTTCAAATACCAAAGCAAAATCAGACTGAGACATCAGTTTATGCCAATAATCCATTGTTCTTTATGGACCAACCTGACAACTCAAACTGTATTCTGGGTTTTCTCTATTTTTGGGAGGTTGTTTCATGTTTGGTTTGGTGGTTTGTTTTGTTTTGTTTTTTAAACTCCCCACTACATTCTCAAAAAATCTTCAGTATTTACTTTTTACTACAGATGACATATTTTTTTATAAACTTACGGTTTTGGAAAACCAGTTCCTGGAGGCGAATGTATCTGAACAACTCTCTTGTCTGTGGGGGATTGTTGTTTCTTGCTTTTACATGTGGAAGATAATAATTCATTGTTTCATTATCATTATCTTTATGTCAAGAGACTTAAATCGTAGTTTTAAATTTTGGTTAAACTGATCTTCTGGCTGGAGAAATTGTGGTAGAATAGGTTCTCCTCACCATTTTAGGACAGCCTGAACAGATCCCTGTAGCATGAGAGAGTCGAGAAATACAACTTCCAACCTTTATTTATTTTTATTTATTTATTTATTTATTTATATTTATTTATTTAAACAAGTAACCATGCTGTGCTATTTTTAGGGTAAACAGTTTTTTTTTTCTTCCTAAAAGTCTTATTACAGGGTTGCTGAATTATTTTCTTTGCCATATCACAGCGCAAAACCACTCTTGAGTTTTCTACTGAGTGATGGTAGCTGGGATGTGAATGTATTTCCAAGGACATAGCTTTATGTAACCTGTTTACCTTGTAAGACTTGTAAAAATCAGAAATTCTGTATTCTTTGCCCGAAACAATTAATGAATATGTATGTTCACATTGGATCCAGGAACAGTGTGTTTTTGTCAGAGTGCCCCCTCAGGGACTTTTGCACGCTTCGGATGCATAATACAATTGAAGCCGTTTCTTTGTGAGAAAATAGGTTAATGACTTGCCAAAAGGCAGATGTTAATTGGAAAAAGTGCATACAAGTCCTTTTCTTTACAATGTATATGGGTTGCATTTGTTATGACTTGCATCCAAGAACAGGTGCAATTTCAATTGACTCAGCTAACAGGACATGCTGAGTACACTCCTCACCAAATTCACTAGAAATTTTAAATCCAGCAGAAAAAAATGAGTTTCTAAACTAGTCAGTGAGTGATAAGCTGCATTTATTACTTGCTACAGAACATATTTATAACTTAGTATTGTACTTACACTTAAACGTCTTAATAATAGGAAAATAAGGTCTTTGATTATGTATTGGTATTGAAGAATTTTACTGGTGAGCACTGAGGAACCGTATGAGACAAAATGTGTCATCCCTTCCAAAATATTTCTTTTGTAAGAGAGTCAGCAGTTCCAGACAAGGTACCACCACTGTATTTGTAAATGCAGCTTAAAGCAGAAAAATTGCTTATTTTCACTAACATGTTTCCTGCCACAAAGCTACACAATCAGATTAAGGTCTTCACCTTGCCTTGCTTCATTTTCCCTGTCTTCAGAAGCAAAAATTAGTAAAACAAGTGGGAAAAAAAAAAAAAATTGAGTGTGTCAGGGTCAGAAGAGCTGCTGTGTGATAGGTTAATAGTTTGATTCCAAGGGTTTCTGGGAATTTCTAGGTCCACTGGAGCAGGGACTTCAGTTTGGATCCATGTGCCTAATCTAACCTCATCCTTCAAAAGTCACTCTCTCTCACCTGAGGACAGCTGAATGTAAAATTCAACTGTCTGGGAAGCAGCGACGGTCTAGACCGGTGTAGGAACATCTAGTTCAGGAATCCCCTGGGAGCTTTGGCATTAACAGGGGTACTGAGCCTGCTGGCAACTGGGGTCACACCATTTTCCCACACCTATAGCAGGGTCCTGGGCATCAGAGGACTCAGTGCACTTGCAGAGGCAGGAGTGGGCTGAGAAGAAATGCTGAGAGTCTCAATGCCATCTAAAT